CTGCTACTTTTATTTCAGCAGCGCGTTGTGGTGGAACGCGCAACTGATAAATTGCAGCAGCGCCTTGTTTTAGAACTCGCTGCTGGTAAGATCCTATGTACACGCTTTTCTCTAGTAGTGAGTGGACGATAGTAACTCCAGGTGGATAACTAGGCGTCATCCAGCAGTCTGAAATGCATGCCAAATGAACTAGTTCTGCACATCATCTCAATGTCCACAAAATGCATGGATTACCATTTATGTTGTTAACTTTTTAATAGATTGCTATGTTAAGGAAAGAGACCATCCCCGATCGACAACATGGGCCACTACCAAATGCATGCAATTGTGCTGACCAGGACACCAGAACCACATATCCAAACACTTATCATCAGCTTGATGGCTGGAAGCACAATCGACAACGGCTCAATTGCCGGACCATCTCATAGAGAGAGAGAGAGAGAGAGAGAGAGAGAGGCTTCTGACCCTGCAAGAAATCGTTTCAGCTTCACCTGGTGTTCAGAATGACAAACAGGTTTTCAATTTGTGAACCGCGACACTGTAATTGGAATAGCTCTTCAAGTATATTCTAACAATACAGATAGCAGAAATGAAAATCTTTGCTAAAATGCAACTTGATGTTTCCTGAAATTCATAATCATAAGATGTTGTCTCAAAAACTTTTGCGACTAGTGAACCTTCACATATTTACTAGTCAAGGGTTTACTTTGTAAGCATAGCATGTTTAGGAGATTACAATTCATCTAAGCATTATACTCCCTCCGTTCCAGAATAAATGTTGCGACTTAGTATAATTTTAGTATTAAGTTGTATTAAGTCAGCAACACTTATTTTGGGATGAAGGGGTATAAGTTAAGAGCATACTACAAGGTTCAAGCACCAAGTAGAGCTCATATAAAAGAGTACCTCTATCTAAACATTTAAGCCATGCAATACAACCCTGACCATAGAGAAGTATATTAGAAGAAGAATGTAACATACAACATCTCTACAGACCACCCTAAAGCAGCAAATACAGACAGGTACAAACCAAACAGTCCTGTTTTAACATTTAGTACTTCTATGTCTTGACAGAAAAATAGTGCCACTATCACTAGACACATGGATGTACAAATGGAATGTTGAAACCATGCAAGGCATCCTAAAACATGATCAGCATCATAAACACAAGGCATCATACGATCAGAATAGTCCCATGTCCATTCGGAAGGAAAATTTAATATGTTAAATAACAAGCACCTTCGTGTTCTTGATTAGCTATGAACCATTCAGTGAGCATTGTTTTATGTACATTGAATATTGAATCACCTTGTCGAATCAGAATTCCTCATGCAAGATAACTTTGTTGATGCCAGGAAGATGGACCACCAACCTTTCAACAGAGAGCTATTGGCCATGTCTATCAAATACAAACAAAAACAAGAAAGGAATAGAAACAACACCAACTATCCTATCATTAGGAGTTGACTTCAAATATAAATTTACACTGGTAAACAATTAAACATTGCAGCGTGGGACATTCAAAATTTGAATTGAAGGAACATTAAAATATTAGCAATCAATCGTCCATTTTGTGAATACAACGACACATAGGAAGCAGACCTATGCATTGCGCATATTGTATTTTCTAATAATAATAAATAAACTATATCATCACGGTGTGTAAACTGGAACCTAGCATTATGACATCAATTTTTTCCGCATGTTCAATAGGAATTACAAAAAAAACTGAATAATACCAATTACAGACCAGCATACTGCCCAACATAATTAATTTTTATGAAAAATATATACACTACTTCTCTTCTCCCCTGTAGTGCCAATGATGTTACAACAGGTCGATACATTTGCAGATCGGCTGACATTCGGTGATCACTTCTTTCTCACCTCTTGTTCTTCGAGCCAATTCCAAAAATATATCAAACCTTG